AGGGAAACCCAAAGTGGTAAATGCCACTGCTCCCTGCGTTCCCATCCCCTTGGTCTGAAATGTCACCCCCTTCATCTTGTTTAGTCAGACAATGGTACAACAAGAGGAGCTTTCTCCTTCACAGAAAAGTTACAAAATTGAGCCCAATGTTGGTAAGAACAAACATTTTTAGTACGAGGAATCCTATTCAAAGCTATTCTACCCTAATTAAGGTAAGAAGTCCCTTATTTCTGCGTGTGCTGCGCAATCACAGTTTCCACTGAAGTCAGCGGGAAAAGCAGGAGCTCAACACCACTGAAAAAAAGGCCATTTCATCTGCCTCAGTACGGATTTACTTCCCTAGGTTTAGGCATCTGTATTTGAAAGTGCTGCTGCCATTTTTAATGTTGTCTTTAATCCAGAAAATGTCTGGTTTTCTTCAAAAGAGGTGCATCCGAAAAAAGATGGCCCCATCATCAGTAAAAACAGAATGAGGGCTTAAAGCTATCAATCATTATCCTTTAATCCCTGAAGTACCATCGTCAACATGAGCAGAGAAGTGTGTTATCTCTGTCTCACTGGACTCTTCGGGCCATTTGCTCGACTCACGTTCCCCTGCTATGACATAGAAAAGAACATCCTAGGAAAACGTTGAGATCTGAGTAGGGAGAATGTAAAATCCACATACATTTATGTAGGATCTAATCAAGCTTATTTACACAGAGATGCCACCACAGTAAATCCTACTTCCTTCTGAAGAAGGCATCAGGATTTTGTTGCATGTATGCAATTCATTGTGCCATAAAGATCAAATGTGACAAATGGATTAGAGTAACTGAAATCTCTGGGAAAACCTTCGAGTAAAGAACACTTCATCTCATGGCCTTTTTTTTGTCCTCAGAAACATTATTTAAATGTAAAGTTTTCAAACCATTAGGGATTTTCTGACAGTGGGTACACACCTATAAATTTCGATGTTCCTGGTCTTTTGCCTAGACATTTTGGTGGCGCTTGCCTCTCCTGCCACAATAATTTCATTATTCTCAGTGACAACACCAGCGCAAACACATCCCAACCCCTCTCCATACTTCGGAGAGGAAATGAAGTACGTCTTTCGTGTTGCAGGAGCGTAACAAAAACTGGCGTCTGCATAGCTACCGTGTCTTGACCTAATGCCGAGGGAATTGTTGCCGATGCAGAGCAAGAGGTCGGTGGTCTCCATGCCATAGCGCAGGCTGAGAGAAGGGTGGCTGGAGAGCTTGATGGCGTTGAGTGCTTCCTCAAACATATCATTGCATTCTGCGCTGCAGAGGATCATTGTGTTCCTTTTGCGGGCCTCCAGAAGGAAGGACGGGCTGACCAGCGCCAGCCTCACTTGCTTCAGAAGCTCGGGAAGGTGCCCTGCACGGGACTTTCTGCTGTGCTTCACCCACCTAATGACAAGGTCCAGGATGCTCTCCTCCCTGGAAATGTTCAGATCATCAGATTTTATGAGAGTCAGCAGCTGCTGGAATTCAACCTCCAATATTTCTTCCTGCAAGCTCACCTCAGCAAAATGCTGATATAAGTATTTCCTTGCTTGATCGGATAAATCTTCTGCCCCGATGTGGCTTGCGAAGTAGTAGATGCCCACGCAGTTGGAAGCATCCATATGGTCCATCATGTACTTCTGACACATGTTGGAAACCTCTTCCATCTGCATGAAATAGGCAGCGAGCGCGACAGTCTGCACGTTGTGGTGAGCGAGGCGCAGATCTGCGCTGTACATGTAGTGGAGTAGCACGGACACGCTCTCCGCAGAGACGTCGTACAGCACCACATCCCGTTGGGTGCACTCAGCCAAGCCACAGGTAAACATGGCTCTGAAATAGGGGCTGAAGGCAGCCAGCACCACCTTATGGCAGGGGAATTTCTCACCTTCAGCAATTAGCACAACGTCAATGATCTCTGTTGATTCTTTCATCCTCTTTACTTGTTCCAGTAAAGTCCAGCTGTGGCGCTGCTTTCTTTTCTCCTCAGTCTTCTGATCCATGGTTGAGCTCCGAAACTCGCAGTTTTAAATCTCCTCAGAAGTCAAGGTCTTCATCAGGAATGTTTCTAGAGGTAGAAGCATAACAAAGTTCAATAAGGACAAATTACAATAATATTGCTGTTAATATCTAAAGATAGTAATTCTATAAATCAGTAACGCATAAAACTTATGAAAAATTATGGTGAGGTCTCAAGGTCTTCAAGAAATTTGAGAGACAGCAGTTGGCCTCAGCCCATGGATTCAGCCTGTCCAGGTTCCTCTGCAGAGCCTTCCTACCCTCAGGCAGATCAACACTCCCTCCCAACTCGGTGTCATCTGCAAACTTGGTGAGGGAGCACTCAATCCCCTCATCCAGACCATTGATAAAGGTGTTAAACCTTTACTGAACCACTCAGGCTTTCAGATCGGTGAGCGGCAGGATGTGAGATACAGTGGTGGAGCTGTCAATGGGAGGAGGACATTCACCCATCACTTGTGGGACACCAGTCCTTGACACTGTCTTTGTCTCTAATGTGGTGATGAGAAAGTTCTGTGGTGGAAACGCATTAAGGACTCGTGTCATGAGCCACCAAAACACGAACGAGTCCTAAAGTTGTGGTATAACCACATTTGAAACACATTGTAAACACGTTGCTTAATGGGACTGTTCAAATGAGTGACGTTCCTCACCAGCTTAAATATTTGCAGGATCAGGGTCTTGTGTGGCAGATTGAACCTTGCCCTGGAAGCACGAAGAGTACTGTCGGCTTCATTAAAGAAATAGGCGTCAACGTAAAAATGAGTACATGAAATTCTTTGAAATCCACCTAAAGGCGTTTTCACAAACGCTCCAGGTTTCTCTACAGATTCAGATTTAGATAGATGATTTTTTTTTTAATTATTACAGTTATTTTCTAGGTGAAAAGGAAACCTACAGCTATATCCTCAATCTCAGATCTACTCTGTTAGCTTTTCAGTTGTTTTTGGAAGTAGTCATCATTCTGTTTCAGCAAATTATACGCATTCCTCACTCAGAGTGCTACATTAAAAGCCAGGCATGCTTGAAGACGAGCATTTCCTCGATTTTACCAGTTCTTTCCATATTCCAAACCTGGGAGGAACACATCTGAGAAATGAACCTGGGCTATTGCCAGATTTTTAAAATGGATTTGGAAGACAAAATATTAACTTCATAGTCTGAACATGGGCCAAGATTTGAGCTCTTCTTATGCTGCTTTTCAAAATCAACCAACGTAGGTCTTAATCCTGCATCCATTAGTTCTGGAGCAGTCCTTACGGTCAGTAGAAGCCTTTTTTTATAATACAGAAATTGTTCTCTTTTTATAATCCTACATGACAATTAGATGGCCAGTTTATTGTTTTCCCCTCCTGCTATTTTATTACCTTGTAATTTTTGGTCTTCACTGCATTTTGATGAAGGAACCACACCATATCTCAAAGATGATGCATGGTAAGCCCATACATCTTAAGCAGTTGAGTGTCTCTAACCAGGTTGTTCACTTCCAACTTGATGAAGGTGTTAATAACTACCAACAAGACCCAAATCCTGTTTAGCAATCTGACTAACCGGGGGTTTTCCTCCAAAATTATCGACTTCTCTCTCTTTTGTGATGCCAGAGCTTCACACATCCTCCAGCTTTTCCATAATGGACAAAATGTGCATTTCTGATGTGAAGAACAAGCGAGATGATTAATCACCGTCATCCTTCCCAGGCTTCTGTAAAGACCAGGAAGAAGCAGTGTGCAGAACCGAGTTATGATTTCACTTCCTTTCCTGGTCACTGTTTTCTCTCACTGTTAATTTAGCTTTCTTAAGAGCAACGCTTTGCCTTTGATTACACTGTTCAGCAGATTTGTGAATTTTATCTGTTCGTTTAGCAGCAATCGGAATGTCTGGTGCAAGATGCTCGCAGCTGTTTTCTCCCCTCTTCCAGCATTAAGACGTTTGCAATAGGAAACTTAAAGCACAATGTAGCTTATGCCATTTATGTGTTGGTTTAAGCACAAATTATCTGATACATAAATCCTGCACCCAGCACCCCAGTGATGGAGGGTGGAGGTTGTTTAATGTGATGTGACCCGGTGCGGGGTGGTCCCCTCTGGTGCCCCCAACACTGATGGGTTGGCTCTGGGCAGAGCTATCCCACAGCTGAGGAAACCAAAGCTTAAAGGTTAAAAAAGAAAACGGGATTAAAACCCAGGGGTGAAATCCTTTCATTAACTTGAGAAATGCATCCCTGTGCTTTAGCTACAAAACTTGTCACTCCCTTCCTGGCTTTTAGAGGTGTTTAGGTGAGGTCACTGGAAGGATATTAATATTCTCCTTTATAACACTGCAAAGACTATTAAAAGCTAATAATGAAATGCTGCTGCTTTGCTTTCCCCTCTGGGTTACAGAGGAAAAAGATGGTACATCGATATTAAAAGAAAGGATAAATGTGATACAAATATAATTTGCAGTGAGACGCTGTAGTGAGATAGTGCCAGAGGCTGGGTTGTCATTATAAAACCTCCAGTGCAAGGCTCAAATCCTTTGTAATGTCACCGGGAGCTGAAATCAGAGCTGTTTCCTTATTCAGAGTTTTTGGGTGTTTCTTTCTTCTATCGTGAAAAATGGATTCAGGTGCAAATCTTCATTTGATGTCACTTTATTCCAGAGCCCTGCTGTTAATTTCCCTCCAGTTCTGGCTGCTACTTTTATTTTTACATCAGCTGTTTTGTTAGTCTAATTTCACTTTTATTTTGCCTTTGTGTCATGAACCTTATGAAGACTCATACAATTTCACGCAGAAGCCCCAGCATACGTTCTGCAAGGCGGTGGGGTGCTGTATGAGCGGCTCGAAACATAAATAAGCGCGCCGCTGCGAGCTCAGCTCTCCAGCTTTTATGAGGCTATCACGCTATAAATAAATGCTGTCCTCAATTCTCAGTTACACTGCAGCCTCTTTGAACCGCCCCAGCGCGAAGGGGCTGTAAACCAGATGGAAGTCTCTCATCAGGAATTTCCCTTAACCTCCGAAAAACAAAGCTACCTTGTAATCAGAGACTTTTGTCTGTATTTTTGTCTGGGACGTAGCTTTTTCTTGTTGGCTTTTTTTTTTCCCCCAATCCCAAGGAATCCGCTCTTTGCCGCGCCGTGGTGGGAGGGTGGGAGCTGCAGGACCCGGGCCAGGAGAGGTCACAGCACCCAGCGTGGGGCAGGGACTGCAGCGCTGGGGAAACCTCCCGCATCCTCCTCTTCGCCCTCCGCTGCTTTGTTTTTAATTTATTTATTTTTCTGCCTTAATGAGGCCGCCCTGACTTGAGGCTGCCTCCCTTCAGGTGCTGAGGGGATCAGGGTTCAGTCGCACCGAAGAGCCGGTGCCTCTGCCCATGAATTATTTGTGCTGCCTTTGTTATCAGCGAGGCGAGAAGCGGCTCTGCTAATTGTGTGCGCGGTGACATTTGGCTGACAGCCACGGCGAGGCAGAAACCAGCACCCAGATGACGATCATAACGTTATCATCTCGGGGTTTAATTGGGAAGGCTGTGCTGGCATTCGAGATCGAGATTTTAAACCGTGCAAAAGGCCCCGCGGTGCTCAAGAAAGGCAAATAATGATAATGCTAATCTTGATATAAGGACAAGATACAATGACATTAAGATCTAGAAAGGAAACTTCCAGGGAATTATAGATTTCCTGTATCTATAGTACAACAGGAACCTCATTCTGATACCTGGAAAGGTGCCGGAAGAAATTATTACATGATTAAATTATAAGAATTTAGAGGGCAATAAGGTGATAAAAGCAGCTATAGCACCTATTTTTCAAGAACAAATTGTGTCGATCCAATCTAATTGTCTTCATTTTTTTCAGGGATAATAGGGGATAAATTGGATACTTTGTCTTGGGTAAAGTTACTGATACGCGATATCATTAGAAACGAATTGTGATGAAATCAACTGACTAAATCAACGTATGTTAGACGCCCAACTGGCTAAAAAAACCCCACCAGATTTAATGAATAGTTATTGGTGGTCAGACTGGGAAGCATTTTTAGCCTGTGGCTGGAGGTCTGTGCTGAAAAAAGTCATTCATAGTTTCAGAGCACACTCACTTTCTTGCGTTGGCTTAGGCATTATTTTTTTCATTAATTTCATCCATTCTGGCCAGATAAAATACACAAACTTGTGGCAAAGCATTGAAGTGGGAGAAGATCCAATTCTTTTTAGGAAATTTATGTCTATGCTGTTTGAGAGGGCTCACAGGTAAGTGTCTCTAATAAATGGATCCCTGTGACAATTAGACATTTAGTGTTTGGATGTCTCCCAAGTGTCACCATAACTCCTAGCAGCCAGGAGTTTTCTGAAGTTTCCTGTATTCTGTCACTAATTACTTGGAGATTTAGGATTCTCAGGTTCTTAAAGGCAACTAATTCATTTAAAAGTCCAAGTCCTGCTTAAGCTCAGTGTGCAATTTAGGAACCGAAGTGTCTGCATCACTTTTAAAGATAGAACTTCACCCTTCAATTGCTCAGGCAGTTTTAAAAGGTTTCCCAGATGATGTGATCTCCTTCCCGTCAAAGTCAGAGGAAAAACCTCTCCTTGCTCAGCCCTCTTGGTCTCCCAGGACCAGCCCCATAGCAGGTTTCAGGTGATCTGCACTGATTTATTGCTGGCAAGGAAGGAGGAATTTTGAGGTTTTGCAGCCGTGTACACTACAAATCAAATTCTGTCATTGGCCCATATAAGATAAAGTATTACAGTCCTTCTTAGAGAGATTTTTAGCTATTTTTCTCCCTCAGTCCCTGTGGCACCTCATTGAACTTTGGGTGCCACCTGAGGCTGAGGAGCCTGGGTCAGGGCAGTCTGAGGTCGCATGTATGGACCAGCTCCTGCTGGGAGCTTTCAGAGCTGGTTCCAGTCTGCAAATGGTGCAAAAGGAGGCTTCCAGTGCAGAAAGAGGGGCTGAGGACTCACAAGATGCTGCTAGAGATGGTTGTGGCAGTGCTGTGTTCCCC